AGCGAGAAATCACCCCCCAGGGGGGATGGTCACGCCGCAATCCCTTCTCCTCCATTCTCCTCTCGGGATCTTGGGCACGCACGCACACGCGCCTGGTGTGAGTTTTAAGCCACCGGGTCTGGGACACGAACCGCAGTCGACTACGTGGGAGTCCAGCGACATAGCCATTACGCTAACTGCTGGTTCCCTAGTTTTTAAGTATTGACAGAAAGTGTCACCCTTGTAGGTTACAAAGAAGCTGTATTTCTTTATGGCATCTTTTAAAGTATTCAAGCCTACAATAGAGTTTTGTTCTTTACTCATCTAAATCCTAGTATTCTATTTTTATTCCATCTATGTTTACAAAAATTAAACACCTTCTATTAATTTCTCCTTTAATTATATTTTATCTTTTTTTAAAAAATATATCTCTTTCTCTTCAAAACTTTCTCCAATATTTTTTTCTGATATAAGGTGGTCACATATATGGTCATCAAAGGCACATTCAGATACATTTCATTACAAGTTTTTTAAAATTCAGAATCATATTACAGAAGTGGAAGTATTAGATACTAGTATCTTTACATGTCTGTCATCTGATTCTAATCCAATAATAATACTTTTTTTTTAGTTTTTTTCCCTTAGGGAGTATGTACTTGCTGGAGAGAGACAGAGGGAGGGGAAGTGAGAAATTGCCTCCTATAGGGGATGGCCATGCTGCAATCCCTTTTCTTCTAGGGATTTTAGGCATATATGAACATGTGCCTGGTGTGATTTTCAAGCCACCAGGACTCAAACCACAGTTGCCCATGTGAGAACTCAGCATCTTACCCACGTTGCCACCTGCTAGTCTCACCAATGAGAACACTTGATGTGACATTATTAGCGTGAAGAGAAGGGAGGTAGAGACAGAAGTAGAGAGAGAGGCAATGACAGGCAAAAATTAAAGAGGGAAGAGAATGTTTTGGACAAATCAAGAAATCCCACAGAGTCAACCTTTCTTTTTTCTTTTCTTTTTTTTTTTTTAATTAAATTTGACAAAGGGTGCATACACTCACTGGAGGTAGAAAAAGAGAGGAAATGTGAGAATAGTCACACTGCAATTCCTTCTCCTACATTAATCCTTCCTTTCAGAATTTTGGGCATGCATGCACATGCACCTAGCATGTTTTTTTCAAGTAGCTGAGTGCAGGACTTAGGCCACACAGTTAGCCACGTGGGATCCAGCTGGTTGCTAGAATCAATCTTAATGGATGCTTAAATTTGCTTTTAGTACTTCTCAGGAACTGTATTCACCATTCATGATATACTTTATATATTGAACATATGCTCAAATACAGAAGTCAGAGCTGGTGGATTTTTACCAATGATGTTTGTCCACTGCAAAGGCCTATGGAAGAGAATTGTGAATGAATGACTTGATTCTAGGTCTTGGCTAAAAACAATTCAGACACACAGTAATATCATATTAAAGCCTCCAGTTAGCTTAGCCAGCTGGACTGGGTCTATAAAGAAAGTACAATACTGAAAACTAGTTATACTCCAGAAAAAAAAAAAATTCATACCATTGATTGACAGAATTTTTATTATACATTTTGGGTTATATTTTGTGTTGGTAGAAACAAGTTCTTCTTTTTTTAAATTGCCTGAAGTTGTATGTGCTTGCCATAGAGGATGAGAGAGAGAAAGCACCCCTCCGTAGCCTGTGACCACTACAACTCCTTTCCTCCTCTTCTTCCCATCAGTATTTTGGACATGCATGCACATGGACCTGGCATATTTTTGAACCTTGGCTGGCCATATGGAAGTGGTTCCCAATGCACAGCACTTCTCTGTGCTAAGGGGCTGGCCTGAGACACATTCTTTAAGTACAGTTATGCATTATTTAATAACAGGGACACTATTGGGTTGTATTGGGTTGTTGGAAAAGTCATGTGCATTTTTGCATAGAAAAAGCATAGAAAAAAATACATCATAATTTTCCCGACAACCCATTATTGGATGTTTTTGTTGTTGTTGTTATACAAACATCACAAAGTATACTTACACAAATCTAGATGGTATAGCCTACTC